TTTCGAGGGAGGAGGAAGAAGGAGGAGGAGGAGGGGAGGAGGAAGAAGGAGGAGGAGAAGGAGGAGGAGGAGGAGGAGAAGGAGAAGGAGGAGGAGAAGGAGGAGGAGGATAGTCACAAACCTTCCACGTTGAGGCTCAGTCATGCACAGAGCTGCGAGGCAGGTGAAGACTATGGAGGGCACAGCGACGATGGCAAAAGGAAGCCTCCAGCCATGCTGGGGCCCGACCACCCCGCTAATGAACTGCCCGATGCTGATGCCGAACCCCTGGGAGAGGGAGACTATGGCAGACACGACGTTCCTCCTCTCGTTCTCGAACATATCACCCAACATAGAGAATATCAGAGGTAGAGCCCCCCCGACAGCGATGCCTGTCAGGGCCCGCAGGAAGAGGAGCTCGTGGTATGACTTCACCCACAAGGTAGCCAGCGCCCTGGCAGCCTCTAAGTCAGCCATGAAACTAACGGACAAGAACTCACGGTCCCTCCCCTAGGATCACTACTCCACAGAACAACCACTTCCTTGGCATCTTGTCTGCTAGCCATCCTATCCACAGGGCGATGGGAGCGCCAGCCAGGAAGAACGCAAACGCAACCTCCCCGCCGAGTTTTTCGTCCCGTTGCTGAACAACCTGTAAGGTTGTAGAGCACTTTCAACACATGTACCTGAGGTGTGAAGGAGAACTCTTGTGATATCGCTGTGAGATTGGGCGCCATCAAGTTCTGATCCGCAAACAGGCAAGCTGTCAACAAGCAGATCATGGTGACGGTCAAAATCTTGCTCCATCCCAATCGAGTAGTCTTGGACCTCTCCCGCTCCACCTCCATCTCGAACGTTTCTTCCACAACCTCCCCTTCCTCCTCCTTCCCATTCGCTGGCAGCAGTCTGTCGGACACGGATAACCCGCTAGAATCTTCCTCCCTCGTTGCGCTGGTGGGGGGATCTGTTTCACTGGTGAGGGAGTGTCGTAGGATTTAGTAAGAGGATGACAAGTTCGCATTCTGTCTTCTCGTGTCCATGCGCATGCCTCACTCAATCTTAGAATGCTTGACCTGTTCCTTGCTGAACGGATCTACAACAATCTCACACCTCCCCTTCTGCCCTCGAACATTCTACAGCAACGACCCAGTATGTTTGCATATCCTTCAACCCCCGATGGCTGACTCCTGCTCCTACTGCATCTGTCTCATCATCTATTATCGTGTGCTTGGATTGCATCATCTTTCCGGAACTTCCGACCCTCCTAACCTCATGCAAGCTACTGTTGCGCCTTATCCATAGGATGTAGAACGCAATGATGCAGTCTTCTAGTACACTAGCTTCTCTTCCGCCATGATCAACACGGTAGCTCTCTTCGAACAAGTTCTCTTCTTCCTCCGAAGTTCATCTTGTCATCGTCAGCATTGTCTTCTGCTTACTTGTCTCCCCGCCGAGTCTCGTTCGCTTCGCCATGGAGCTCTTCCCGAATCCCTGCTCAACCACCCCCGTTTTGGTACTACCCCCTCGATGAAAAGAGTACCACCAACCCGATTCCAAAGAAATAATATGAAATAATAGTTGTTGCAAGAATTTTAAATCTGGCAAGAAACTTTCATACTTGTTGCTGTGAATCTGGAGGACCGGTATAACGACAACCCCACCCACTACCCCACCCATTTAGCCGAGCTCCCAACACGACAAACGGCGAGTCATCGAGATGATACCTGGCCATGACACGATAATATGCTGTACTCGCTCCTCCTCCCCCTCCTCCTCCTCCTCAAGCTCCTCCGCCTCCTCCTCCTCCTCCGCTTACCCCGCCTCCTCCTCCTCCTCCTCCTCCTCCTCCTCCTCCTCTCAAACATAAACACAACTTTCTCCTCAAACTCAAACTCAAACTCAAACTCAAACTCAAACTCAAACTCAAACTCAAACTCAACTTTCTCCTCGCACTCAACCTTTTCCTCCTAACCTTCCCTCCTCCACCACCACCTCGTCCTCCCTCCCCTTCTTCCTCCATCATCCCACCCCTTCTTCCTCCTTACTCCTCCCTTCCGCTCCCTCCAACTCACTCCCACTCCTGTGTCTGTCAGGTGATCACAACCACGATTTAATATCTTCAGCATCTTCAAACTTACATAAAATGACATGTGCAGATCCAATTGATCTGCTAGCCCAGCCATCTGGGCTGCTTCAAGTTAGCCTGACTCTTGCCAACAGCCTGCACATATCCGATGTTTGGACGCTTGAAGCCCTTGGTTGCCTCTCGAAATTCGTGGTCTGATAAAACCGAATTCATGTCAGTCACAAGTGGATAACAACGGAGTACAAACAACCCACCCAAAGTCAGCGACATAGTCTGAATCATCTCGGATTTGGCCTCAAGACCAGTCAGCTTGCACAAGAAGTCCGAAACTTCATGTAGTCCGTCTATCAGCGAGCCTTTTCGATCGCTATCATGCCCGTGGTTGCTTCGTTGTTCAGAATCCGTCGAAGTCTCACTAGATTCTGCTTTTGGAGGAATGTCCCCAAGCATGGCCCTGCGCCTTTCCAGGAGAGCTCGTTTCCTGTTCTGAACGTGACCGCAAGGGTCATGGTGACATCTTGTTTGTTTCCAATCTGAGCGGAGGACCTCACTCTGTTTCAAGTTTGACATGATCATGGCGCGTTTCTTGGCAGGGTCCAAGTCCATGCCGAGGATTCGAGATCTCGACAATCTTGCTGAGAAGTCCCGATGGGTTTCGTTGGAGAGTTTGTTTAGAAGGTCTGCATCGCGAGAATCTGCTGAGTCACTGGCTCCGACTTGTATGTGATTGGATGCCATGGCAATGATCGGATATCTGGAAAACACCGGCGTTAGCTTCGAGCGTGCTTACAGTTGATCAACAAAATTATCAGCAATACACTCGAACTATTGTGGTTTAGACTGAGGGCATCTTTGTCATAATGCATACTTCTTCCAAGTTTCTTGCTGGGTTTCATCTGCCATTCCCTAACATCCAATTTCACTGGCCTGTCTGCTCAGCACAATCGAAAAAGTGCTGCACACTCCTGTCCTTTCAACGACCATCTCCTCTCCTCCATTTCCAAAACGCTGAATCCTGGGACCAACTTGTAGACTAAAACTATTTTAAGTGTCACTGTAGTACCACCCACCCCATACCACCCTAAATGTCCCGAGTCGTTCCGTACCCTCCATTCATAACAAAGAGGAATACCACCCACCAATCCATATGCTATCACCCTCATGTTTGTCTGTATGGTACCCACCCCTATGACACACTACCCACACATCGATGACTGACCCCTCCATCCCCCAAATCCGTACATTCGGAGGCCTTTCCAAAAGGCAACTCTGCACTGAAGGGGTGGGTGGGGTAGGATGAGATTTCATGGGTAGTAGAGTCCAAATTGCTGTCTCCACACGGGTCCAAATGACCAAGATCCCAAGCTTGTGCATGGGTGGGTGTTTCAATTGTTTATGGGTAGGGTTGGTCACGGGGGTTGTTGTTGTCGTGATTGTTAAAAAGTGTTTTATATTCCGCTTCTCCCCTGACCCACCATTTACAGATCCAGAGGGTGATAGGGGTCCGGTCTCAATGGGGTCTGTAGGGGCAAAGGGATGGGTCCGAAGTGACAAAGAGGTCAGAGGTAGGTAGGGTGGTAAGTTTGCCAATGGTGATCCGATAGGGGGCGCGACAAGACAGTGAGGGGGGTGGTAGCCCTCTGTGGTGGGTCCAAATGACTGGTGAGAACAAGGGGGTGGTGTCAGCCTCCTCAATAATGGATCACCCCATCTCATTGATGAACAAAAAGTTTACAAGAACCCCTACCCCTCGGGTTATGACCCACCCACAAAGATTACCATGTTTTACCCCGATTTCCAAATTTTCAAGGATCGGAATGAGTACCCCACCCATTATGTGAGAAGAAGATCCCGCCGTTGCAACTCAGGACCGGTGGTCGATGACCTTCTTCTCGACCACCCCTGGAATGTAAATGTGAGGTGGTGATTGGTACGGCAACTTGTTCTAGTGCAAGGGGGTGTTTCTCGGGAAATGGGTAGGACCCACCCCTCTTTTTGCAACATAATCTTAAATCTATATGTGTCGGGAGATCACTCCAACTTTAAAATTCAACCCCAGATAGGTACAAAGAAATATATTGTTTCCGGTAGTGTTGGTAGTTCTCGCTGTTGATCGGAATCTTTCTGGTACTATCTGAATGGATTAATAAATATTTAAACTCTTTTAAAAATGGATGGGTACAGCTAGACTAATACTGTAGTAGGCACTGTAAAAGTTGCCGTACAGTTTGATCAGTACTGTTCGATTCTTGACGGCAGTTGTACCAGTCACGGTACTTAAGGAGAGTCAGCATCCAGTGACCTGAGTGAGTAGTGTCAAAGCCGGGGCCCGGCCGGGGCCCGGCCGGGGCGGGATTCCGACCGGCTGTTGGCATATGCACTGAGAAAAACTGAATTCGGGTCATTACGTTACAAACGGTTACTGTGAGTCAGCGTGCGTGTCCTATGCCGGAGAGTAGCAGGGAAACAACGGAATGGCGAGCAAGGAGGCGGGAGAAGGAGACGGGGAGAGGAGAAGGAGATGGGGAGAGGAAAATTATATGGGGAGAGCAGAAGCAGAAGCAGAAGGCAGAAGGCGGGAGAGATGTACAGGGAGGTACAGGAGGCAGGAGGCAGGAGGCAGGAGGCAGGAGGCAGGAGGCAGGAGGCAGGAGGCAGGAGGCAGGAGGCAGGAGGCAGGAGGCAGGAGGCAGGAGGCAGGGGGAAGGAGGAAGAAAAGAAGCGTCAAGAATGGAAGGAGAAGATATTCACAGAAGAGGCAGTGGAGGAAGGAGAGCTGAAGAAAAGGGTGAAAGTAAATGACCTAACTGGGCAGCAAGGGAGAAATAGTGGGGAGGTGATGCTGAACTGTAGAAGGATTGCGGTGTGAAGTATGGAGAAGACGCGAAAAGGAGATATGTGGCAGAGAGGGGGTGCATTGGTTTCCAGACAAACCAAAGGGAGATGCGGATGAGCGATAGGAGGGAAAGGAACAGCAAGGAGAGCGTGGGGCGTAAGCATGTACCAGGCTAGAGGAACGGAGGGGAAGGGCTATAACATCAAGGGTTAGACCGAAGGGCTTTTATCAGAAATCAGGAGCGATGTCAGCCTATGAGCATTTGCTGCTTGTCTTCTCGAGAAATTTGATAAGTTGAGGACAATTTTCTTGCCCTGCAATGCACAAAATTGAGCCTTGACGAGAGTATTGAGATCATTTCTGTATTGAACGAGAGAAGAGTGTTGATGATACCATGAGTATAACGTTGTTTGTCCCCAGGATGACAGGCTTCTGTCAACGAAGACAAAGTTCCATGTCAGAGTGAATGAAACGCAGCAATGCTGAGTCATCACACAAGGTGATTTAGATTGCAACCTATTGCGTTTCTGAATCAGAGTTGGGACAGCATGTAGACATTGGCGAAGACTGAACCAGACCCTGCTCGCTCAAGAAACATGCTGAAACTGAACCATCTCCGTCAGCACCTGCTCCTCCTCTTCGCCATCCATGTCGCTTCACAACAGACGTACGGTCCTGGGGAAGGAGGAGGGACCGTGGGGAGGAGGAGGAGGAGCGGGATGCCAGTGGCTCCAGTGATTGAGGACGTGAGCCCAGCGAACGGCCCAACGGCTGGAGGAAACATCATCACGATTGGGGGATGAACTTCGGGTCGGGGAACACAAACGTGCAGCCCTCGGTGAGCGTGGGAGGGTCTCCCTGCCAGCAGGTAGTGTGGGTGTCTGCGACTTCGGTGCTGTGTGAGGCTCCGGAGGGAGTGGGAGGGCACAAGCTCGTGACGGTGGAGGTGGGAGGAGTGAGCAGCTCGGCGAACCCGTCCACTTACTTCAACTACGACCCTCCCTCAGTCATAGCGATAGAACCAGGGCACGGCTCTGCTTCAGGTGGGACGATGGTGACTATCGTTGGGACCAACTTCGGCGCTACGAACAACAACCCGTCGGTGACGATAGGAGGGAGGCCCTGCCAGAATGTCGTCTGGCTCTCCAACACGAAGCTCCAGTGCGTCTCTCCTCCCGGCATCGGCATCGGAGACGTCCGCGTCTTTGTCCTCGACGAGTCCAGCCCGGAGAACTTCGGCACCATCTTCGAGTTTGACGCTCCGGTCGTCTCCAAGCTTGTCCCCGACCACGGGCCCAGCACAGGCGGGTACACGATGACCATCGAGGGGCTGAACTTCGGGACCATCGACAGCAAGCCGCAGATCAAGGTAGGAGGGAAGCAGTGCCGGAGCTCCGCCTGGAAGAGCAACGAGCAAGTCACCTGTGTCCTTCCCAAGGGTGTCGGACCCGAGAAGCAGGTCAGTACTTTGACAAGTTCCTGTCAAGTTGCCGCAGACTGCTGACGCGCTCTTCCCCTCCAGGTCACTGTGGACATCCTGGGGCAGCCCAGCCAGCCGACTCCCCGAGCTCTCTTCAGCTACGACGGCCCGATCATCACAGCCTTGCAGCCCGAGCACGGGGCGACGGTGGGAGGGACGCACTTGACCGTGCTGGGGGCGAACTTCGGGAACGAGGAGGACGGGAAGAAGCTGCAAGTGAGCATCGGGCAGATCCCCTGCTCCTCTCAGCGCTGGATCTCCGAGTCCTGCCTCTTCTGCATCACTCCAGCTGGGGTGGGAGCTGGGAAGGAGGTAGAGGCCGTTGTGTCAGCGATCAAGAGCTCCCCTTGCCCCAGAACCCCCGCCAAGTCCAAGTCCCCCTACGCGGGGTGTAAGTCCACGTTTGACTACGATCGGCCCAGCATTGACAGGGTCGAGCCCAACCATGGCCCAGCTGCCGGAGGATACTTCGTGGCGGCCCTGGGGGACAACTACGGGACGTCGCCGAACTTGATCAAGCTCTACATGGGGGGGGTGGAGTGCGAGAAAACCCAATGGGTCTCCAATACGAAAGCACGATGCCTCGTGCCCCCGGGTGTCGGGATTACGCACCTCATCGTCGACGTGGACGGTCAGAAGAACTCAGTCAGCAGCTCGCCTTCAGCTGAGGGAGACATCTTCACATATGATGCGCCAGTTGTCAAGCGCGTCCTCCCCTCAGCTGGAGACCCGATGGGGGGGCAGCTGGTGACGATCTACGGGGACAACTTCGGGTCGGACAAGGCGAAGGTGTCGGTGCTGGTCGGGCACGTGCCGGCGCGGGTGGTGCATGTGAACAACGAGCAGATGATGATTGTGATGCCTCAGGGGGAAGGGAACAGAGCAGTGCGAGTGAGAGTGGCGGACCAGGAGTCTGCTGCCCCGTCCTCCTCCTCCTCCTCCTCCTCCTCTTCTTCCTCCTCCTCCTCCTCCTCCTCCTCTTCATCGCAGGACGACTTCGAGTACAACGGGCCGAAAGTCAGCAAGGTGGTGCCCAACTTCGGGAGGACGCAGGGAGGTCAAGTACTGACCATCTCTGGCTCCGACCTCGGCACGCGCACGTCGCACATCGACGTCAAGGTGGGAGGCATCGACTGCATCGACTCCAGCTGGGTAGCGGAGACTTCCGTCCTCTGCACGACCCCACCTGGCTCAGGAGGGAGCAAGAGGGTGCAGATCGTGATCGACGGGAAGTTCTCAGCCTCCTCCCCCGACGACATGCGCTTCTCCTACGCCGCGCCCCTCATTACCTCCGTCTCCCCCGAGCAGGGGACGAGGGAGGGAGGTACGCGCGTCCTCCTCCAGGGCTTCAACTTCGGCCTCACCGACGCCCATCCTGTCGCCTTCGTCGGGCCCAGCAGGTGCCGAGCCACCGTGTGGACTGACGATGCAGCTGTCTCCTGCATCACCCCACCTTGGACGGAGGGCCCCACCATCCAGCCTGTCACAGTCCAGCTGAGCGGGCAGGTCTCGTCCTCCTCCCAGGCTGCCGTCTTCCAGTTCGGCTCCGGCAGCTCCCCCATGATCACGTCGCTCGCCTGGACGAGGGCGCCGACGGGAGGAGGCTTCACTCTGACACTCTTCGGGAACAAGTTTGAGCAGGAAGGCGCTGCCGCGTCTCTCGCCCGCTACGGAGGAGGATCCGCCCCCTGCAGGGTCACGAGGTGGATCTCGGAGAGCAAGGTCACCTGCACGGCCCCAGCTGGGGTCGGCTCCCAGCTGACGGTCTACTACCAGTCGAGGGGGTCCCCGGTGGCGGAGACGTTTGGGAGCGTGACGTTCGAGTACGATCCTCCCGTCGTCTCCTCCCTCTCCCCATCCGAGGGCCCCGTGGCGGGAGGGGAGCAAGTGACGCTGACGGGCTGGGGGTTCGGGCTGGCGGACACGAAGCCGGAGGTGAAGGTGGGAGAGGCCAGCTGGGGTCCAGCTGTATGGACTAGCGACTCCTCCCTCTCAGCACAGACCCCAGCTGGGGTCGGTCGTGTGCCGGTGCTGGTCAAGGTGGGAGGGCAGCCGTCCAAGGTGGAGGAGGCGCCACTTTACGACTACGAGGGGGAAACAGTCACGAGCATGCAACCTGAGACTCTGCCGACGGGAGGAGGAGCGACGGTAACGCTGTTCAGCAGGAACTTCGGGCAGGCCAGGGGCAGGAAGGACGTCAAGGTCACGTTGGGCGATGGAGCTCAGCTGGGGTCGAGCTGCACGCAGGCCAGGTGGGAGTCGTCGACGTCGATCACTTGCGTGGCTCCTGCTGGAGTTGGTAGGGACCTGGACGTGAAGGTGGAGGTAGAGGAGGAGGGAGGACGGAAGGACTTCATGGGCTTCGGCGTCGCCTCCTACAGGACCCCGTCGGTGACGTCGGTGGAGCCGGAAGAGGGGAACAGTGCTGGGGGGCTGCTGGTGACCGTGCTGGGGAGAGACTTTGGGACGTTCGACTCCAACCCGACAGTGAAGGTGGGAGGAAGGAGCTGTTCTAGAACCCTCTACGCGTCCGACTCGAAGCTCGTGTGCGTGACCCCGGCGGGAGGAGGAGGAGGGAGGAGCGTGGTTGCTGTGGTGGGAGAGCAGGAGTCTGCTCCGTTCAAGGTGAGGCGGAGGAATGGGATGAGAAGGGGGGAGCAAGGAGGGGGGAGCAAGGAGGGGCAGGGAAGAGGAGGAGGAGGAGGGGAGGAGGAGGTGTGGGACAGCGGTGGAATGACAAAGGTTCAGGGTTTCACTTACCTCCCTCCAACGACCTCCGAGGTCGATCCTTCGTCAGGTCCCGTCACAGGTAAACTCCCCTTCCCTCCTCCCACTCCCCCTCCCTCTCGCCTCCTCCTGCTCGCTTTCTCCGCCGTTTCTCCTTTTCCCCCTCCTTCTCCTCCTCCTTTGTCCTGCTCCCTGCTCTCTTCCCATCCTGTTCCTTCCCCTTCCTCCACCCGCCTTTCCTTCCCGATAGTCTGCCTCCTCCTCCTCCTCCTCTCCTCCTCCTCTTCCTCCTCTTCTCGTCTTACCTTCACCTTTACAGGTCGAACAAGCGTGACGATCTTTGGGAACAACTTTGGAACTTCAGCAGCATCTGAACCCAAGGCATTCATAGGAGATATTCAATGCCAGGTAACATCTCCATTTTCATCATCGTCATCATCATCATCATCAACAACAACAACAACAAAAGAAAAACCATCACAATCTCCACAATCAAAATTACAAATCATCTCAGCTGCCTTTAATATCCTTCTCACCCTCTTTGTCAGACTACTCGTTGGGTTTCAAACACGCAAGTGATCTGCGAGACATCACGTGGAAAAGATCTCTATGTCAAGCATCATGTCACTGTTGATGTTGAGGTGACTCCTCCTCCTCTGCTCTCCTCTCCTCTCCTCTCCTCTCCACTCCTCTGCACTTCTGCTTCATCTGGTCGCCTGTTCACTGGTTCAAGGAATTACAACTAAGAGTCCCTTCAAAGTAACGTTCTAGTGAAATCATGTTTTTTC